TATATATATATATAGTAGAAGAGGCTAAGTGAAGACTATAATGAATGACTGAGAAAAATTATGGCATATATCTATTTAAAGTTCTGTTTAAACTGTTTTGCATTTTACCTATCATCAAAGATTTTAAATGAGATACAGCAAGATTTAAAAGCTGCTGTCCTCACCTAGCCTAATCTGATTCATACCCACCTGGGGAGTTGCTCATTGGAGAAAGTGATGCAGGCAGTTGTTGCTAATCCCCCCAAATGGTGCTCTTTGGAAATAGTGTGAACTCTAGCAGCAAGAGAGGGCCCCCAGCAACTTTGCTGGAGTAATGCTTCTCTTGACTGTCCTCTGTCTGGCCCAGGCCAATAATCAGACCTTGCGAGAAAAAATTCTACAAGTCAACTCCCTGGTGGAAGCCTTTGGGAATGCATGCACGGCCATCAATGACAACTCAAGCCGTTTTGGAAAATATCTGGAAATGATGTTTACACCAACTGGAGCTGTGATGGGGGCAAGAATCTCAGAATATCTCCTTGAGAAATCCAGAGTTATAAAACAGGCAACGTGAGTGCACTACTTATCACTGTTTTTATTCTGCCATATAAATTTGGAGGCTTTGGGATTTTGTGTGTGTGTGTGTGTGTGCACATGTGTGCTAGGGATTGAACCCAGGGGCACTGTACCACTGAACTGCATCCCCAGCTCCTTTTTCTTTTTCCCCCCTCCCTTCCCTTCCTCCCTCCCTCCCTCTCTCCCTTTCTTCCTTCCTTCCTTCCTTCCTTCCTTCCTTCCTTCCTTCCTTCCTTCCCCTCCCTCCCTCCCTCCCTTCCCTCTCTCCCTCCTTCCTTCTTTTCCCTCCCCTCCCTCCCTCCCTTCTCTGTCTTTCTTTCTTTTGAGACAGGGTCTCACTAAGTTGCTGAGAGCTCCAGTTGCTGAGATCAGCCTTAGATTTGTGATTCTCAGGCCTCAGCCACTTGAGTTGTTGGGATTATAGGATTACTGTGTGAGCCATAGTGCCCAGTAGCTTTGAGAATTTTAATGGTTCCATCTTCATCCTTGCTCTTTCCCATTTCCCCAGCCTCCACAAGAGCAAGGAATTAATTGTTTAAGCAAAGGATCAGTGGTAATTTTTGACCAAAAAGATATGAAGGGGCACAATACAAAGGGTTGGCGTTAAAGTGCTTTTGGAATAGGTGTACTTGCTTTTCCTAAGCTGGCTGTATCAGTAGAATTTAAGAGTATTGCAGACACTTTTAAAATTCATTAGATCTGGGCTGGAGATGTGGCTCAATGATAGAGAGCTTGCCTTGCATGTTTGAGGTCCTGTGTTTAATTCTTGACACTACAAACATAATTTAAAAAAATCATTAGATCCCTTAAAGTTGAATTTGTCTATTTAAAAAAAAAGCAGAGGATATTCCATATGTTCATTTTTTTCCTCTCCATGAGAGAAAAATATTCACAATTATTCTGTCTTAAGAAAAACAGTATTAATAGGTAATCATAATTAGGGGCTGCGGTTATGGCTCAGTGGCAGAGGGCTTGCCTAGCATGTGTGAGCAACTGGGTTCAATTATTAGCATTGCATATAAAGAAATAAAATAAAAGTTCATTGACAACTAAAAAACATTTTAAAAAATAGGTAATTGTAATGGATAGCATGGGCTTTGTTCTGGGTTCAAATGCTAGTCCTGATACTGTGAGATCTTGGGCATATCACAACCCTTTCTATGCCTAATCTGTCAAATGAAGTTGCTGTTACTGCCAACCTTAGGGTTTGCTGGGAGGATTAATGAGTTCATTTATATAAATTACTTTAAATAATGTCTGATATGGTACATGCTCTCAGAGTGTTAGCCACTCTTGCCATTATTATCACTGCAGGACACCAGAGTTCCTCAGGAGTGTAGCTTCATCTGGACATAGACATACACTATTGAATGCCTGCTGTATACCAGTGCTGTGTTCTTTCCTGGGGCTGTAAGAGTCAACAAGACAGACAAGATTGCTGAATTTATAGAGCTTGAAGTACCATGGAAGAGATGGGCAGATCTTGGTTCTTAAACAAATAAATGCAAATGTAGAGCAAATGTGATAATTGCCAGAAAGCAATGTAAGGTTCTGGGAAAGTGAAACAGGAGAAAGGAAGACCACATCAGCTAGTCCTGGAGGAAAGAAGAGCTCCCCATATCAGACATTGAATATGAGATCTGAGGATCACTAGGAGTTAGCCAACAAGGTGGGGATGGGAGCAGGAATCAGAGAGTGGCAAAGATGAGACTAAGAGCAGTTTGTGCAGGGCTTTGGAGGCAGGCTGAGGACTTTGAACCTTTTTTGAAAACCACTCTTTGGCTGTGGAACATTTCCAAGAAGGGAGTCACAAAACCCAACTTGCATTTTGAAATGCTAACGCTAGTTTCAATGAATCAATGGAGATGAGAGAAGGCTTGTGCTGAAGAGTCAGGGGCTGTTGTTAAATCTACATAGAGAATGTCAGCCTGGATGAGGTGTAGAGAGGGGGACCTTCCCCGGGCTGCTAGGCAAGGAGAACCCACAGGCCTGGGTTTAGCCTAAGAACCCAAGCACAGGGGTGGGGGTGGGGGTGGGGTGGGGGTAGGGTGGGGGGGTGCAGTGCTGGAGCACTTATCCGGCCTGGGCGGAGCCTGAGTAAATCCCTGGCACCATGGAAAACCAAAGCAAAACCTCAAGCGTCTTCCTCTACCATGCTCTTAGTTTCCTCACACAATGGAGGCTGGCGTGAACATTATTAAACAAGTGAACAGGAAATGGAGTGAGAAGCATTTATGTTTCTCTGTGGCGTCTTGATTTATTTTTATAAGGTTCCCTGCTTCTTTCTTTGTCCCCAAATTAGAATGATTTTAACCTGTAGGGAGCTACCTCTGACAGGATGGAGATTATCTTGTTCTGTGTTCACATGTAAAGTGCTCTTTTACAAAGCTAATGGGTGGAGTGTTCCTCTCACACCTGCACGGATTTCTGGGGAGTGTGGCTCCTCACTCTCCTCACCTGCAGCAAGGGCTTAATAATGCCAACTCCACAAGGCTCTTAGGAGAATTGAATGAGGTGAAGAGAAGGAAGAGCCTTACAAGTCCTGTTCATCCATGGTGGTTCTTATCACTTGTAAGCACTCTGTAGGATTCCCCTTCCTGGTCCCTGGGTTGCTGAGTGTGGTCTTATAGTCAGTTCTGGAAAATGGGCATTTACTGGTAACTCTCCAGAGGCTGGCAAAGAGTAAGATGGTGGCTGCCCCATGGGCTGGGCCACTCATAACTACAATGAACACAGCTTGACTGCTGATCCCCCATGGACAGGGACTCTGAGCAGAAAATAAGCCTTGGCTGAGATTAGGCACTAAGATCTCATGGTATTTACAATGGTGGCAAGACCTAGCCAATCCTGATAGATAAAGGGATGGAGATCAAACCGAATTAATGCTAGGGATGGATTTTGAGGGGAAACTTGAAAGAATTGAGAAACAGAGGTGTTTGCTAAAAAACTGTAGGAAAATACAATCAAGATGGGTCAGCCAAAGCCTTCACATTTAATGGAAGGTTAAGGAACAAGTGGTATTTGTGCCAGGTGTACCTCCTCCAGACCCAGTGCAGGCCCCATCCCTCCATGCTCAAGGTAGAAACCAGGAGGCAGACCCCAGCTTCCGTTCTCATTCCATCTATTAGGCTGTTCTTTTGGTTGTTTCTCCAAAGCATGTATTTGAGCCCACCCTCTCCATCACCTCTGCCATTCCTCTATCTAGGCCACATTGCTTTCTCACCTGGACCTCCCAATGCGTCTCTCTCTATGCATTGTGGTTTCTTACAATCTAGTCCCATGCTGTGGCTGGACAGTACTTTCACTATGGATCTGTTCACGGCACGTACTTCTAGTGCCTCCCAAGTCCCTGTGTGGGCTGGTGCTGCCTGCCTGTCCACTCCTTCTCACTGGCACCCTTTTCAACCTTCATGGGTGTTGTGCTCAGAGCCCTTGTGTATGTGTTGCTCCCTGTTTAGAAGCCTTCTTTCCCCTTCTCTTTGTAGCTCCTTCCAGCCCCTCTCCAGACATTAGGGCTTCACATTACCATGGTTTCCTCAGATAGGCCCTCCCCTGACTTGCCCCAGGTCATCCCTTTTCCCAGCACTCAACTCAGCCCCCTGCTCATTTCTTCCAAAGCCCTCATCTGGTGGGCATTTCTATTTGTTTCATCTAACCCATCTCCAGAAGGAATGCTCCAAAAGGCCATGAAGCTTCTTAGTCCTATGTCCCTGACACCCCACAGCACGGCACCTGCCTTGATCAGTACTCCATACATTTATTAGTTGAATAGTAGCCTTTTTATTATGTGTCCATATCCCATAACATCATATTGTATACCTCAAATATATACAATACAACTTATTTTAAAAGATAAAGATTGGTTTTTAAAATTATTGAGTGAACAAATGAGTGAGGAATGGCAGATAAGGACATCTGGGATACAGAGCAGTGATAAGAACATTTCTCCTATCATAAACTGACTCCAGCTCCCAGGCTGTGCACATATCTAAAAAGGCCCTGACCAAAGTGGCCTAAAAGGGGTAGACAGCAGAAGACCAGAGAGACTGAGGAATGACATGTCCAGTCGTACCTGAGAGTACACCAACTTGGGAGCCTGCAGACCTCAGTTCTGGGACTAATCCTTCTCTGTAGGACCTGCAAGGGACTTCCTGCCCGAGGTTCCAGGAAAGGAGGAGTTTGACTGATCTAAGTTGAACCTCACTGTCTCTGAAGCAACAGGGGTTACTAACAGAAGGCATGTGACAGATGAATAGGTGTGGGGCTGGAAGTGAAAGAGCTCTAAATATGTGTAACCTGAGCACCTACCTGTTCCATTCTGTAAAACCTCCCTCTGCTTATAGTAAAGTGTGTTTAAATATGTAACATTGTGAGGATTACAGTATGAATCCTAACTCTATTACTATTCAGCAATTGGAGTGAAGTATATTTAATTAGCTAAGAATGAAAAATCACCATAGACTATTTTGCAACGAAAGAAAAATGGTATAAATGACTTAGGATGGGGAATCCCAGAATATAGTATTAATAAAGTCTCTTTCTCTTTGTTTTAGGGGAGAGAAAAATTTTCACATATTTTACTATATTTATGCTGGTCTTTATCACCAAAAGAAACTTTCTGAGTTCAAACTTCCTGAGGAAAAACCTCCTAGGTAAGTATCAGGGATTTGGCTTGTTAATTTTGCATGAATGTACAATTAGCAACTGACAAATTCAGAAGTAAATAGATCTGCTTTCCTAACTGGAAACTCACAGCCTATTTAACTTAAATACATAGGAGGAAGTGGCCATTTGCATTTTCTAGAATATTCAAAAACTCAACTACAGCCATTTTACTCAGCCTTATACACCATTATTTCCCCACAGTGTTAGATGGTAAAGGAAATGACTTCCAAAGGAGCCAAAGTGGCACTTGTCCTGGAACCTGAGGTACCATTTTCCAAGTCAGTGCTCATGGTGTTTGGCCATATTCCATTTCATTTAGGTACATAGCTGATGAAACTGGAAGAGTCATGTATGACATAATTTCCAAGGAGTCTTACAGAAGCCAGTTTGAAGCAATTCAGCATTGTTTCAGGATTATTGGATTCTCTGAAAAGGTAAGTGATTGTCAGGAGAGAAACTCAAGAGTTACTATTCTTCAATGACCATGAGTGAAGACATGGATGTTCTAGCTTGGGGCAGGATACTTTCCATATCCTACAGTGGTCATCTGAGAAGGTCTTGCTACTCCAAGTGTGGTCTGAGGACCCAAACTGTTATCTCCTGAGAACTTATTCAAAATGCAGACTCTTGGGTCCATCCAAGAATGACTGAATCAGAATCTGCATTGTAGCAAGACACCCAATGGACATAAAGAAGAGAAGCACTGTTGTCAGGATCATGTATCTATGATTCTTATCACTATCATCAATTCATAATAGCTGAATAACAAGCACCAAGGCAAGAGTGTCCCTTTTTGAGTTGGAGTCATTCACCATGAAAGTGAATTGTGACTAGAGTATAGGCATGCACCCATACACCCAAGCTACAGAATTATTTTGATGAAGCGACTCTGTGCATGGAGACAAATTAATTAAAACCTTTTTAACTTTTTTGCTGTCACTTTCCTCTCCACGACACACAGCTGTACATTTTTAACTAGAGTTTTAAGTATTGCACTACTCTTATCACACAGATAAAGGTTGTCTCTATTAAATACATGCTAGGAGTGATAGACAATATTTATAACCGAAGGCTCAAATATTATTCAGAGATACATTATGTCATAGCATCAATTTTGCAAAACATAGTTTCTTTTGCTTTTCTAACAAAGGGAGTAAATGACTAGAAGGTAGGTAAGAGTGTTACATCTTAAGGAAATAGGTTACAAAACATTCCAGTCACCTTGGGACAGCCACTCGGAATAGACTGCTTCAGTGAGTTTGGCTAGCCCTTCCCTCCTCCCCAGCATGGTTGATTTTAGTCATAATAATACCTTTCTTTTTTCCATCCAGCTACTAATTTTCTCTGTTGGCCTCCCACTGACTTTAAACTGACAGACAGTGGAAAATCCCAAAGGTCAGATAAAAATAGAAATATATTTCCCTTGGCTCCTTAGAGGAGAGCAATTAAACAGGTTTCAACATTGTTAAAGGAGCTTTATGTTATTAATTTACAGAGCTGGTTTTTATCCAATAAGCATCACCAGAACACTCAAAGTGGAGTGGAGATGACAGTAGAGTCATTTCAAGTCACCTGGGTCATTCCAAAGTGTTTGGGGGCATATGTCCTTAAAAGCTACAGGAGTCATAGCAAAGTCAGCCCCTAAGGTTGATAGTATTTTACTCCTAGGGAATATACAGATGATTATAGAATGCTATGAAGAGACTGGCCCCAGCTCTAATAGAATGCATACAATAATGCTATTATAATAATCCTTTAAATACCCTGATAATAATCAAACAGATGATGTTTTAAGGTAACAAAATTAAAAACAGAAGAAATTAAGTATATGTCCTTGAAGTAAGCCATCCCTAGCCCCTGTGTAAAGAAAAGTCCAGTAGAAATGAATCAATGAATGAATGTATAAATAAATATGAAAAGAATTAAATAAAAATGTGAAAATTCTTAATTTGTGCCTGGTCTACACTGTTAAATGAATAACTGGAATGTGATGGCATGTCTCTATATCTTTCCCATGTTCAATATTAATTCATACTTGAAATAAACCAAATTATGTCAGTTAGTAACTGTGGAAATTTGAAGAGGCTGGATCTTCTGTACCTGACATTAGATTTTGTGTTTATGTTTGTGCAGGAAACCTGTTTTGCTGGATTAACTCAGTTCACTTTGTGTTTATAAACTCACAGTAATGTGACTAAATTCAGAAAGATTCAGTTCAATGAAGTCAGGCAGCAGATGCCAAATGGCTGATGTAACAGAACTTTCTCTGAAGTTTTTTTGGCAGACATTTCTAGGCAGAACTTAAGTGAACTGGTCAATTCAATAAAAATTATGTTTCCTGTCCTTCTTGGAAGGTCATTAGTCCCCTGCAGAAATCCCTGAAGTTTTTCTCAAACCCTTAACAGCAAAATTATGAATAGCAAACCTAGGTGTGGACTCAGGAAGATGAATTTTAATTCTGGGACACTGGCCAAAAGTACTGCAAGGAACACTTGATTATGAGTTTATTGTAAAGAAACTTCTCTGGTGGAAGGAACTGTGTACTAATGATGATGGTGTCTTGCAAGGGTCTCAAGGGATCATTCCTAAAACCCTATCGTGAATACCAGTGCTTTCCAACTTTTACATCTGGAGCCAAACCATACTGTTTTATGTTTAATATTATGCTTGTCTTGCTGGTATGGGAATTATCATAACATATTTAACATATGGAGTTTTAAAATATGTTTATATTTAATACCACATGAAAACTTTTGGGGCTGATGGACTAGGTGATGGTCAAGATTAGATATATCCTGCAGATCCCTGGATGCAGAGGGTTAAGGAGAAGTCTTTGAGTTCAGAGCAGAATTTTTTCCCTTTATTCAAAATAGATATGAATCCAAAGAGTATTGCTGAAGAGATATTGAAGGGCTTTATGTTAAAATATAACTTGGGGGTCTTGAGATGGCCAATGTCTTAACTTAGACAATAGGGTACCATTGACTTTTAAGATGCCCACTTGTGAACCTCTGCCTAGGAGATGAGTAAGGTGCTGATAGAGCTTGTAGGGAGATGGCCCTGCAATGGTCCTAAGGCAGGGCTTGGGGCAGAACTGGTGAAAAACTAAAGGATTTATAGAAAAGAAAGAAGGCAAAGCAAGACTGATAGGAGAAGTAAATTCCTAAGGAGGCACAGGAGGACAACTGCCTGAAAAGCCTGGGAGCCAGGTTGAGGGAGAGTCCAGTAAATAAATCAGTGCTAGGTTCTTCTCAACTTTCAGCCTGGCCTCAGCTCTATCCGGAGAATGCTTACATCAGTAAAGAAATGCCTTCTGAGAAAAAGGGAGAGGCAGCAGAGACTGTGCATCCACAGTGGGGCTTTGACGGAGGACACTGTCCCCACTTTGGCCAGCTGATGGAGAGGCTGAGTTCACACTCATCCACAGTCCAGGAAGATGACTCAACTGGAGGACTTGTTAGTCTTCCTGATAACATTGCTTGTTCTCAGTGAAGTCATTTCATTTTTTTTCATATAGAAAGTTGGAGCCTGATGGGAAATAAAAGAGAGAGCAGTGAGATAGAGACAGAAAAGACAGAGGTTCCAGAAAAAGTGCCATAGTTGGAGATGAGGCAAGAGAAAATGACATGAGAGAGGTGCACAGGCTTCCCCAGGATGTCTGTGAGCAGAAATGAAGAGAACTTTGAACAAAGAGTGTGGGGGAAGGTGGAGTCATTTCACAGATGGACATACAACAGAATGAGCTCGCCATGACTGTATATGGGTGATGTTTGACGCAGACACAGTGGTGGATGTAGGTTCCTAGGTCATAAAGGAAGCATTGATTAATCCACATGTAGGGCTAAAGGAGCCAAGAGGGGGAATAGCCCAGAAATGTGCATAGGTAGCACCCTAAGGCTAATAACCCCTTAGTAAGGGAGCCTTGGATACTCCTTCCCTACTTCCTTGAACCAAGGAAGGAGACTCAAGCTACCATTAACTCTGGTGAGTCACACAGTGTTTGAACCTAAAAGTTTTCACTCAAGGTCATGGTAGCTTTCCACTTTTCTTGGCTGCCTGGGCATTGTATTGAAGAGATGCTTGCCAGAGAAGCAACAGGGCGGGATGCTGGTGTCAAGGGCATGATCTTTGATAACCATTTTCTTTGGCAATCATCATCCCAGGGGTGAAACACCTAGAAGCTTTATTTGGGGGAGGTTTTGAGCCTTGTACTACAACATATAAAAGGTAATAATGTTTAATTAGAGGAAGTACATTTTTTCCTCTAAGAGTATTCCCAAGTTTTAGATACCCTCCTGAGGTAACTGGATATAGAATAGCAGATGTAGGAGAATTCACTGCCTGAGACTCCTTCACCCCCTTGGATCTGCCTCCGAGGGAGTCAGGAGTCGCCTGATGCACTCAGCAAGCCTCACACTGTATTGATCAAGGTAATGAGGTGCTGTCATGTTAAATCCAAGCGAGTCCCAGAAAACCCATTTGGTAGGTGTTCTCCTTAGCCACTTTTAAGTCGTGTGATTAAACAGTGATTCTTGAAGTCAGAAACATGACATCTTGCCTTTGATTTAGAAGTTAGAAGAACAATATTTATCTGCAGGAGAAGCCAGCTTAGAGTCCTCATTTGTCTTTGTAGCATTATCAGGTATCCAGCAGATGTCACTGTTAAAGCCTGTGTTCAGTTTTTTTGGCTTTACTGAGTAATGTTTACAGGAAAGCTCAATTTGGGGGGCAATGCTTTATCAATGATGTAATGACAGTTTCTATTAGTTTGCTACTGTGTATAGTACTAAATCAAGTAACCTGCCTGAGTATTTTTGTGGAAGCATTTTTCTCCATCTATAAGCATAAAATGCAGAAATTTCCTAAGCATTTCATTGCTTCAAATACAGAAAATGTAAATTCTAAAATAAATAAATAAACTTTATTTTAAAAAACAAATAGTGCTACATAAATATTCAATTTTTAATATAAAAGATGACTGAAATCGTCTGAATTGTTTTTACTCACATTTCTGACATCAAATATGTGAGGTCTTTCCCCCTACACACACACACCAACTAATTCTCTGACACCAGCTGAATGGCCTACAATTCAATTCAATTCTATGTACCTGAAATTACCATCAGATCCCTTAAGACTGCCCCCACTTCAGGCAACAATTGCAAGTCCCAGGACTCCTGTGGTTTTGACGGACTGGTTATAAATTAGGGGTTATCATGAACCTCTCCCACGTTTGATTTGCTGCAATGATTTATAGAACTCAGGAAAACACTTTGCTTACTGTTACAGATTTAGAAGAAAAGATAAAACCCAGGAATAGCCAAAGAAAAAATGCAAAGGGAAACACTGGTATTAAAGGGCTCAGAGCTTCTGTGCCCTCTGGGCATGCCACTGTCCCTCACCTCCATGTAGTCACCAACTTGGAAGCTCTCAGAAGCCCATTTTTTAGGGGTTTCAATGGAAGTCCATTGCATATGCTTGATTGATGAAGTATTGGCCACTGTCGATAAACTCAATTTCTGGCCTTTCTCTCCTCCACAGTTTAGTGGGGTAGGGCCTGAAAGTTCTAGCCTCTAGGCACATTCCTTGGCCAACCAGCTCCTACCCTAAGTCTATCTAGAGACAAACTAAGTCACCTTATTAGCATAAACTCAGGTATGGTGCCAAAAACAAGATTTCTGTCACCCAGTGTAAAGGATTCTAACAGCTCTTGTGCCAATAACTAGTGACAAGGGCGAACTATTTATTTATTATTATATTACAATAACACAGATAATTCTAGTGAGTCCCAAAGTATTTCTTGATTTCATTCATAACCGTATGCTACATCATGTAACTTTGAGATATTCTAGTGAGCTATCATGGGATGTGCTCCCAACTCTGTCATAAAAGCTACACTCAAAAGAAGTGAAAGGAACATCTCTTTTGATTTGATGACAGGACCATACCTGAATTTGGGAGCTGGCATTGGTTAGGGTACAAAGCTAAAAAGTGGCTTAAAGAACAAAGAAGGCAGTTCCCTCTTAGACCACTATTCCAGGGAAAGAGGGTCAGGTTGCAGAGCAATTCTGTTCCACGTGATCCATCATTGGTCTAAAAGTGTTCTCAGTGGCATGGTTGAGGCTGGTTGCTGGGTGTTCCAGTCAGCAATAATGAGGAAGAAAGTGTGGAGGGTGCATTCTCACCCCTAGAGAGCCTGGTCCTAGAAGAGGGCCTCATGATTCTGCCCATTCCATTGTTACCATTTAGTTAATTTCACCTCTAACTGCAAAGGAGGTCGGGAAATTTGTTCTGCCTAGGAAAGGGGTGGGGGATGATGGAAAACTAGCAGTTTCCACCAGAGAGCTAGTGACTCATTGGTTTGATTGGCAATGACCTTCAAATGCGGTTCTCCATGTCCTTTTCAGGAGGTGCACTCCGTGTACAGAATTCTGGCTGGGATTTTGAATATCGGGAACATTGAATTTGCAGCTATTTCCTCTCAACACCAAACTGATAAAAGTGAGGTGCCCAATCCTGAAGCTTTGGAAAATGGTAATTATTTGATGCTTCTGTGCTATGTTGCCAAGCAATATTTCTTTCACTGTGGTAATTTTACAAAATCTGTAGAATAAAATGCAGCTGTAGCTGATTCTACTGGCTCTGGATGTTTTCACTAAGCAGCATTTCCCTAAGGATATCCTATGGAGTATCAGTGCTCCTTCCATAGACTGCAAATAGGTATTCCACAGAAAAAAATTCCATGGCCAGTAACTTTGGGCAGTGGTTCTCAACCTTGGCGGCATTTGAAAATTATCTACAAATGTTTTGGGGGAAAAATGCAGGAATATTTTTTGGGAAAAAAATGATACTTCTGAGTAAGGGCTTATGGGATTCTACTGCCTAAAACAAGGAGGAGATTGGTCCTTACTGTGAACCTACTGAATCAGCATCTGCAGGAGAGAAAGCAGGTACCAATTTATTTTTAAAGATCTGTGGATAATTACGGTGGCACAAAGAATGAGAATTCTCAGTCATAAATAAGTGAGCTGATTTAAATACAGTGAAAAAAAACTTTCTGTGTTAAACTGCAGCATTTTTTAGGGCCTTTAATATACTAGAGTACTTTGTGACTCTCTAAGAGAAGAGAATACAGTCTATGACATTCCCTCCAACCACACCCTCCCTATCCCCCTTTTTTCCATCAAAAACTTATTTAAAATAAAAAAATAAATATATTGTTGTCTAGATAAAAAAAATAAAATATAAAAACACCTTGCTTTAGGTCTGGGAATGTAGCTCAGTGGTAGAGTGTTTGCCTACTATGCACCAAAAACAAACAAATAAACAAACAAAAAAACGACATTAGTGTTACAGGTGATAACTGGAGCCCAAAGAAAGTGGCTCTCCCAGACACACAGGGAAGCCAGTGAAAGAGCTGAGAATATTATTCAAAAGTTCTAATTCCTGGCTGAGCTCTCTTTAAGTACAGCCAGGCATCATTCCTCAGTGATACCATCAAGTATCCAACTTCTAGGCTTCAAGGTGGGTGGGCCCTCTCCTATCTCCAAATCAGTGTATCAGAGTAAAAGACTTGGGGTCTGCCTCTAGGGCTCATTAGCTGTTCAGTTTTAGTGTCATGGAAAAAGTATGGGTCCAGAGAAGGCTCAGAAAACCTCTGGATGTGTGTGCACATGCACCTGCCTGCCCTGAGGAGTGCAGAATCCTGACTATCAGGCTAACAGCAGCTGATAGACAGGTGGACTCTTTCCATCCCAAGAGAAATCTAGGAGCATCCTCACATTTCCATTATTTTAAAAGTAGCATGGTGTTTTATGCATGAATATGAATTAGTAATTTGTCAGAGACTTCTCTGGTGCTGGCTGTCTGCCTTTTTCTTCTGAAACTGTATTCTCTACTGAAATGTTCTATTCCCCCTTTGCACATGCCTTGTCCACTCCGATTTAACACAAGACAATTCTTTGTGATGCTATGTCTTTGGAAGCCATGTGGAATTCTTCTCAGATAATCCGAAATAAAAACCCACAATGCAAAAACAAAACAACAACAAAATACTTATAAAGAGCCTTCAGATCAGTTTGAGAGCCACTGTATACGTCTGAATGCTTTGTGGGGCTAGGGTCCCAGCTTGTTGATCTTGAAGTATCTAGGATTCAGGCTTGTACCTAGAAGGTGTTGAATAAATGCTGACCGATCGACTGAATGAAGGGATGGCCACATTCCCCAGTGTCATCCTTACTTTTTGTTCCAGCTGCTTCTATTCTCTGCATCAGCCCCAAAGAGCTGCTGAAGGCTCTCACATCCCACTGTGTGGTCACAAGGGGCGAGACCATCGTCCGCGCCAACCCTGTGGACAGGGCTGCGGATGTTCGGGATGCCATGTCGAAAGCTCTGTATGGGAGGCTCTTCAGCTGGATTGTGAATCGCATCAATACACTCCTGCAGCCAGAGAAAAACATATGGCAAGTGCCCCCAGAACAAGCGAAGGCCTGGTGGCTCTTGGGGTCTACAAGAGGAAGCATTTTGCCCTCTCTGGGGTTTTCTTTAGCAGAGTGTTCAGGCTTTCTCCTTTAAAAGACAAAATAGAATCCAAAAGAATCAGAGTGTTTATACCAGGGAGGTGAATGATTGATGGAGCCATTCAAGTGAGTAGGCTTGGCTGGGAGCTGGGCAAACTGAGTTAACACAAGAGGTCTACAGCTTAATCAGCTCCATGTTCAAAGTCACAGTTTTCCCATCTGTAAGATGAGAATGATATATCAATCCTCCTCACTATGTTTTTGGAATCACATGGACATTTACGAAAAGTTTTAAAGTACAGCATCTTCCATTATTACTATGACAACCCCCCGCCCCTAAAGCATTGGCTATTAGTTGGTTTCTTATATTGTGCCTCCACTGTCATTGTTTCCTCAATGACAATTTTGAATTCTGAACAGCACTCTTCTGAACAAGCTTTGTATAATGCATATCCAGAGGCTATAGCCCCTGCATTTATGTAATAGATGGAGCTTCTGAGTAGGGGCTTGAAGGATTCTTGTACCTAAAAAAAATTTTAAAAATACTGTTGAAAAACCTAATGAACCGATGGTTGATGACATAAACTGTCCCTACCTTGGAGGTGGCAGCATGCAGCTTCTATCTGCATGTGGGTGGGCCCATGTGTTGATGGAAACTCGGGCACACATGTTCTCATGGTCTTGAGATGAATGTTTCCTCCCTTGAAGGATTTTATTCATCTTTCTTGTGCAGTCATTCAGGTAATGGAATGAACGTGGGAATCTTGGACATTTTTGGATTTGAGAACTTTCAGAGAAATTCATTTGAGCAGCTCTGCATAAACATCGCCAATGAGCAAATCCAGTACTATTTCAATCAGCACGTCTTTGCTCTTGAGCAGGTAAGAGTGAACTCTGAAGTTACTAAACTCGATGGGAAAGGTGTCTCCAAACTTCCCATGATTTGAAGCAAAAACCCTATTAGGCTAAATGGTAAAAGACTTAAAATCACTGATGAGATGATCCTGTCAAAACAAACTATCTACATTTAGTATGAAAAAAAGAGATATTGATTTCTGTGGACACTCACATTTTCTCACTTGATTGGAGCTGGTGACAAGCCAATTACTTAAGTCTTGCTTCAAAATTCTTTCATGCATATTGCCTGAAATACTTTACTCTCTTCTGTTTGAACCCCAAATCTCTGATTGTGTCCAAAATGACATAAGATGATCTTGAATTCAGGTCATAGGTTTTTTTAAAAAAATATTTTTATTTTTTAGTTATGGATCGATACAGTGTCTTTATTTTGCTTTATGTGGTGCTGAGAATCGAACCCAGTGCCTCACGCATACTAAGCGTGTGCTCTACCTCTGAGCCAGCCCCAGGTCATAGGTTTTTAATAACTGCACTAGCCATCCCTATCTTCCATCTCCTCTGTACCAGATGCCTCAGTAACTGGAGGGAATTAAGGTCTGTTTGTGGATTTCTAGAAATAGAAGTCTTTCCTTTCTGAGCTCAGTGAGAAGTTCCATAGGGTGAGAAGCTTGTGGACCCTAGGGGTGCCCTTCTCCTGTAGCAACAGCCTGCATGGCAAAGCCTACTCCACACCAACCCTTACTTAAACCCCAAGCTTTCCTTTTGCATAAAAGAGACACAATAACAAATATTCTAAACAAGCCCTGTAAGTGCAGGGACAATTATTTTAATGCAACTATATGAGGACACAAGAACTCTGCTGTAATTAGATAAATACAGAGACACCAAGTGAAAATACTGTGCCAATATTGGTTTTATCACGGCAGCTGGATAAATCTGCAGAGCATGCCTCACCAGCTCATCCTGCACACAAGTCAACTTGGCTTCCATCCATTTATCTCCCTGGGAAATCTGGAGTTTTTCTAGTTTTCTAGCCCAGAATGATTCCTTTTGTGTAGAATGTAGAAGTCTTCTTTCTTCCTGTTTTAAACCATATTTATCACCAAAATATTTTTTTCCGGTTTTACTTTGTGCATAAGTATCTAAATTAGGAGCCCCCAAGTCTGTGTTTGGGAGACAACTTTTGCTGGCTTGAGCTGCCTGCCACAGGCCACCTATAAGCCACACGTACGTAAACGTACAGCTGCAACAGGCCAGTATTCAGAAGATTCCTTTACTGCACACATCCAACACATCCTGTTTTCCATATGCATTCAAGTTTGCTAAATCTGGAAAGTTCAGGCCAAAGTATCCTGGTGGTATTGAGACAAGTTTCTGGCTAGAGAGATTCACAGTCCGATTCCCTCCAGATGGAGTACAAGAACGAGGGCATTGATGCCATGCCTGTGGAGTATGAGGACAATCGCCCACTCTTGGACATGTTCCTCCAGAAGCCCCTGGGCCTGCTTGCACTTTTAGATGAGGAGAGTCGGTTTCCCCAAGCAAGGGACCAGACCCTGGTTGGTAGGTATCTTGTGGAAAAAAAATGGCCACGTCTACTTCTAACAGAAATTGGTTTCATTACATCAAGTGAATGTGGGTTTTAAATTTTTTTTTTTTAAATTTGCTTTAATTAGTTATACATGACAGTAGAATGCATTTATGCACTTTGATATATCATACATAGATGAGATATAATTTCTCATTTTTCTGAGTGTACGTGTTGCAGAATCATATTGGTCATGCAGCCACACACACACACACACACACACACACACACACACACACACACACATATATATATATACACACACACACACACACACACAGTAATAATATCTGTTTCATTCTACTATCTTTCCTATCCCCACATCCCCTCCTCTTCCCTCCCATCACTTCCCTGTACTTAATCTAAGATAACACTATTCTTTTCTACTGCCTAGCCACCTTATTGTGAATTAGCATCCGCATACTTTCGGTCTTTGGTTTTGTGGGATTGGCTTATTTTTCTTAGCATGATATTCTCCAGCTCCAACCATTGACTGGCAAATGCCATAATTTTACTCTTCTTTAAAGTTGAGTAATATTCCATTGAGTACATATACCACATTTTCTTTATCCATTCATCTATTGACTGACATCTAGGTTGATTCCGTAGTCTAGCTATTGTGAATTGAGCTGCTACAAACATTGATTTGGCTGCATCACTATAGTATGCTGATTTTAAGTCCTTTGGGTATAAACCAAGGAGTGGGATAGCTGGATCAAATGGTGATTCCACTTTCAATTTTCTGAGGAATCGCCATACTGCTTTCTATAGTAGTTGCATGAATTTTCAGTCCCACCAGCAGTGTACCTTTTCATCAGATCCTCACCAACATTTATTGTTGCTTGCATTCTTGATGATTGCCATTCTGAAGCTATATATGCTAAACTCAAGGCCAGCATCATTCTAAATGGAGAAAAATTGAAAGCTTTCCCACTAAAAACTGGAACAAGACAAGGATGCCCTTTTTTACCACTTCTATTCAACATCAACCTTGAAACTCTAGCCAGAGCAATTAGACAAAAGAAAGAAATTCAAGGAATACAAATAGGTAAAGAAGATCTCAAACTGTTACTATTTGCTGAGATATAATTCTGTATCTAGAAGATCAAAAAAAATTCCATCAGGAAACTTCTAGAACTAATAAATGAATTCAGCAAAGTAGTAGGATATAAAGTCAACACCCATAAATCAAATGCATTCTTATACATCAGTGAAGAATCCACTGAAAGAGAAATTAGGAAAACTACTCCATTCACAATAGCTTAATAAAATAAAATAAAATACCTGGGAACCAATCTAACAAAAGAGGTGAAAGACCTCTACAATGAAAACTACAGAACACTAAAGAAAGAAATTGAAGAAAACCTCAGAAGATGAAAGATCTCCCATGCTCCTGGATAGGCAGAATTAATACTGTCAAAATGGCCATACTACCAATCACATTCTTCATAGAAACAGAAAAAGCAATCGTGAAATTTATTTGGAAAAATAAGAGACCCAGAATAGCTAAAGCAATCTTTAGCAAGAAGAGTGAAGCAGGAGACATTACAATACAGACCTTAAACTCTATTACAGAGATATAGTACCAAAAACAGCATTTTGATATTGGCACCAAAATAAACTTGTAGACCAATGGGTATAGAATAAACGACACAGAGAAAAACCCACATAAATATGGTATGTCATACTAGACAAAGGTGCCAAAAACATTCACTGGAGAAAAGGTAGCCTATTCAACAAATGATGCTGGGAAAACTGGAAATCCGTATGTAGCAAAATGAAATTAAACCTCTATCTCTCACCCTGCACAAAAATCAACTCAAAATGGATCAAAGACTTAGGTACTAGAACAGAGGCCCTGTGCCTAACAGAAAAAAAAATAGGCCCAAATCTTCACCACATAGACCTAGGATCTGACTTCTTAACAAGATTCCTAAAGCGTAAGAAGTAAAATCAAGAATTAATAAATGGGATGGATTCAAATTAAAGAGCTTCTTCTCAGCAAAAGAAAGAATAAAATGAGAAGAAAGCCTACAGATTGGGAGAAAATCTTTACCACATGCACCTCCGATAAAGTATTAATCTCTAGCACATATAAAACATATAAAGAACTCAAAAAAGTTGACACCAAAAAACCCCAAACAATCTAATCAATAAAAGGGCTAAGGAACTGAACAGACACTTCACAGAAGAAGATATACAATCAATCAACAAATTTATGGATGTGTTTTAATGAGTATACCCTATGTATTTTGGCTACCTGGTGAGTTGTTAAAGTATAAACTCCATTTTTAATTGAGTTGTGATGTCCTGGTAGAATATTTGTATCTTAAAGGAAACTCATCACCATCCCTATACCCTCCTGCTTTCCTATTTCCCGCCAACACAAATGCCATTACCCTTGCCCTCACTTACTCCCCTTCCTTTTTGTACCCCCATCTCATAGGTAGCACAGAAGCTTGTTCCAGACTCACACTTTCCCCTCCTGCCAGACAACCCGGCTCATTTCTAAAACCCCAGTTCCTTAAGCTGCTGGTGCCTACAGGTTGGAGATGGGGGCACTTCTTCCTGCCAGCTAAGACCCTCTATTCTTTCAGCCTTTTCCTTTTGACCTCTTCCTTCTTCTGGAATCTTTGGTTTCACATGAGCTTCACACCTCACTAGATGGTGAGATGCCTGGGGCCCCAGGCCCCCGGTGCCTGTGTGCCTTTGGTCCTGAGCACGCATCCTCCCACAGAGCAGGCTCCCAGCTGCAACCACACGATGCAAAGGTGCTTGTGAGGGAGGAACAGGAAGTTCAAGCCTTTTCCCCAGATGGAAAATTGATTTATGGGAGAGATTCACATCTAGAGGTTGAAATTTTCACCTCAGTGGTTTTCTCTTTTTTCCCATAATATTGTCATAATTTGCCAAGATGAGTCTACCTGCCTTCTGTGGGCTATCTGCAGGGCTGGCAGGCCTGGGATGTCCTCAGCATGCATGCCAGAGCCCTTAGGGACTGCAGGAAAACATGCCATCTTAGGGCAGAGCCTGACACTAAACACAACACTAATCAAATAAGCAAGGGCAAGGCAGGAAATGCCCATCATGTGCGTGATCCTTCTCCAGTCTTGTATATACAGTGGTAATACTGGGCTTGTCTGAAAGCCATTATTCTGGGTCTCTCGTGGCTTGGAGAACATCGTTTTGTTTGAAAGAACAAAGAGTTCATATTGTGATTTTTCTACATGAAAATCCATGCAGATAAATTTGAAAATAATTTACGATGCAAGTATTTCTGGAGGCCCAAAGGAGCGGCGCTGTGCTTTGGCATTTGGCATTACGCTGGAAAGGTGAGTCTATACCTGAGTGTCACGGAAGGTAAGTGCCCATGTTACCCTGTCAGTGCCACTGCTGAGATTGCTTGCAGATTTCATCCTCCTTTTAATTCTTGAACCCCAAATTGTCATTCTCAGACTCTCCCAGTGGTGCCACTAACAGAAAGTTGCCTCTTGGCATAGAAGCAGTTTCTCGCTGGGGTGGCCCACAGAGCTGCCATCTGCTTCTCACCTGAAGGCTGGCCTAGGACTGACAGCTCTCCAGAGAGCAAACACATTACAGATTTCACAGTGTTTTGTAGTGAATGTTCACATTCTAAAGTCATTTGGAGACGCGTAGGTAGCGCAGGAGGGTTTATATCACAGTGGGGCTCAATTTTTAGCACTTTAAACATATGTCTACAGGCCACCAAAAAAGGTCCAGATGAAAGGGGAAATATTTCACTTCATCATCCAGATGTTAAGCTTTTACAACATTAACTGAAGTTTCCATTTCTCATATATTATGCCTCAGTCTCAATGTGGAGTTCCCGAAACAGATCAGTGACTGATTCGGGAAATTCTCCAGTCACGTAGCCAACAACTCATTGCTCATGTTACTTCCAAAGGAGCCAACTGAATTATGGCTAATTGGTTCCTGTGGGCTTCGTTGAGGCCCTGGATCCAGAAAATGGGTAGGAGTTCAATAAAAGGCATTTGGGATTATTTAGTTGATATAAAATGAATCAAAATTATCTTTCATATTCATATCATGACACTGAAACTAATTTTCCTGATTGGATATCGACCAAAAGGCAATTCTAATGCTAGGAGAGGGGACTGTGCTTTTCTCTACGTGGTCTTTTTATGCTGTCTTCTTTGGAACTCTGTTAGAAATTGTGGCCCAGTCTTTGCCCTTGAGTACTTCATTTACCTCCACACTGATGTCTGACTGCATATTAATGTCCTCTGAGTCTGAGATGTCAGCATCAACCCAGATCCTCCTCCCCATCCTCTCTGCCTCCTGTTCCTGTCCTCTTCCTGTCACCTCTTCTTTTTATCCACCTTTTCCATTTTCCCACTCTCCTTCCCCCTTTTTCCTCCTTTCCTTTCTAGGATCCTTTTCTCTCTGGGCTCTGTGTCCTTTGCTGAATTCAATTACCATTCAAAGCTCATTTATAGACTAGGGATGCTCTGGAATATTCCTTAAAATTTCTCTGGCCTGGATTCCCTTTCCTCTGAAACCCAAGAACTGCTCAGTGTCCTTGAGTGACGACTAAGGTCCTGTGAGTGCCTTGGGAGTCGGTGAGTGTGGTGGTTGTGAGCATGGAGACAAACTGCTCTAGTTTTTTTGTTTCTGTATGTTTGGTACAAGAGGTTGAACCCAGGGCCTCACACATGCCAAGCAAGTGCTCTACCACTGGGCTGCACCCTGGCTTGCCTGGGTTCGATGCCCGTCCCGTACTCATGTTATCCAGCTACTTCACTCTCTGCTTGCTTACCAGTAGAATGCAAATAACAATAGTGTTCACCTCATAGGGTGGATGCTTTGCACAGTGACCAATATATTTTCATTTTTATTCTGATGTGATATACCTTTGATAAGACCTGTCTTTGGTCTTCAAAGACACAGGACAAGAAGCTAAGATAAATTGACCTATCAAAATCACAACTTTCCCCCTTTATCTGGTGCTTAGGATTTAAAAGCCTGACTGTGTCAACAAGAGTTTCTATACAGAGGTCAATAAGGACTGACCAGACAGCTCCAGAGCTGGACAGTGGCCTCGGGTAACTTCCCATTTGCTGTTGGTGTTGCAGGTACTATATGATGCTTCTGGGGTTCTTGAGAAAAACAGAGACACCCTCCCTGCTGACGTGGTTATAGTCCTGAGAACGTCAGAAAACAAGCTTCTTCAGCAACTCTTCTCCATCCCTTTGACCAAAACAGGTACCTGACACTCCCTGACAGCCCCAGTCCTTACACAAGCCCAGACGTCATTTTCTAGTTAGTGTTCAAACACTGCCATGTCTACACAACTAACACTGAATCTCTTCAAACAGGGTTTATTGAAATTCAAGAAAAAAACATTGATTTTTTTTCTTCCATAATTTAACCATATAGCAAAAGAATACATGTTCTCTCTCTCTCTCTCTCTCTCTCTCTCTCTCTCTCTCTCTCTCTCTCTCTCTCTCTTCCATAACATCAACTCTTAGACTTCTCATTTTTCTCTGCCTATCTTTTCTTGTTTGTATGTTTGCAGTGCTGAGCATTGAACCCAGGGTCTTGCACGTGGCAAGTGAGTCCTGCTTCTTTTTAGTCTTCAAATCATAAAGCCATAAATTACCATTCACTCATGTTAAGCTTTCTAGGATAGTCTCTGTTGACCTAGAATTATTGGAAAGATGATTGCAGTTCATGAGTGATTCTAGGTGAAAGGAGTGTGTTTTATCAAAATCACTGATCATAGGATCCTCAGGCTTACACAGCCTAACTTGTAGCCCAGTCATCAACCCCACTCCATCTTTCTCCTAATCAACTGGAAAGTACACGGCCTTGCTGTCTGACAGTCGACTTCTGTTTAGTCTCTCAGTCAGCGCTCATGCCAAGAAGCAGGAAACCAGGGCCAAAGATAGGGACTCCCAGGTCTTTGCTGTTTTGCCAAATGGATTCTAACTGGATCAATTTGCTGGATCAATTTGATTTACCTGGGGTTTGCTGCCTTTGGCTGGGCAGCCAACAATCTTCTCACAGCTCTATTCTCAAGGGCTTTATGTTTATGAGGCTATGGAAATAGCTGAGGATATGCTTTTAAGAAAGAGAGGGAGAGACCTCTTAATCATCGCTCATCATTTCCTCTTCTTTCCATGTCCCTCTTAAAACTGTTGGCACTGTGTCTAGCTTGGGACGTTTATATGCTGAAAGAGAGTCGCTGCCAGGTCTGGGAAGGAAAATCCTGGCTAAGGAGGAAAAAAAATGCTGCAGTAGTCTACAAAGTTTGCTTTATCTTCTCCATCTTAACTTGGGAGGAAAGTTGAAATCAGGCTCTTTCTTCAGACATTCTCCTATAATCAAAACTAGTACCAGGGCGACCCTTAGAAAGCTGATCTCTAGCATCCTCTGCAGAGCCTCCTTGAGTACAGCCAGGATTTAATTTACTGTAGGCTCCTGGGAGCTCAGGGCAGACACAGTGGTGTAGCTTCCTCCTAAGGCGATTTCTCTGTAGAATCAAGGACATGGCCATTATTAATAGGGGACATATTCTCTGAAACAAAATCTATCCCAATGACTCTCAAATGTGAGTAACGACTTGTCAAATCTGTTCACAACTTTGGAATTTCTGATTTCTTAAACGTTTGGAAAAATGAAAACAAGTTCGCAGCCCTGGACGCTAGGGGGCGCTATTCAGAAAGTAAGGCTCCGCAGCGAGCCTCCTGCTTTTGCCTGGAATCCTTTAAATGTCGGGAGGCAAAGGAACAAAGAGACAGCCTCAATTATTGCTTTTCTTTTTCTTTTTTTTCCTTTTCTTTTCTCCCAAAGAGCTTGTAGCATTTTCTGAATCTTGAATCTGCTTTCCTCATCACCTGGATGAAACAAAAATAGAAAGAAAAAAAAAAAAGACTGGAAACAAACGTGATATTCTTTCAAGCGTCTTTGTATTCCTGACTTGCATATTATGCATAATAATTTCTTTTGAAATCCTAAGTTTGATTTTTCTCCATACTTTGAACATAATTAGGAAGCCACATATGAACATCAAATCTAGTAAGCATGATTCTATGTTCCTTTTCTGGAATTATTCATGTTAAAATGCATTCAACTAAACACTGAACAACTTTTGGTGACAAGGCACTGATGGTCAACAAAGGGGGCTTCAGAGATAATATCACTGTGCCATGAAGCATATAAAACTTTCTTTTACCTTCACTTTCTGCCTAGAATTGGACCCTAAGTTATCACCTTATGAAATAGTTGCCCTTACATCTGAGTTCCAAAGTGATTGTGCACCCTCTATTGAGTGCTAGCATGTTACGCTTTTACATTTAAAGCATCTATGGATAAGTTTTTTGGTTTTATTATATTACAGACTTTGAAGGTGGGAAAAACTCACTAGACCAAAATAGGTTGTCCTGTTTTTGCTAAAATTGCAGATATCTGTTTCAAGCATATGCCTGCCCCTTATGAAGGGGAAAGTAGTTGTACATTCCTGCTGGAAGTAAGATTCCACACATCCTAGTGTTTTGAAAAGAAATATGCTAACATTGTCCATGCATGAGAAACCAACTTTTGGTCATTTTTATTTTATCATCCTGCTTCAGAATCTGAATTGTATTATTAAAAGTAAACTGGGCCAGGTATGGTGGCTCATGCCTGTCATCCAGCAACTAGGGAGGCTGAGGCAGGAGGACCAAAAGTCTGAGACCAGCTTCAGCAATTTAGCAAGACCCTATCTTAAAATAAAAAGGATTCAGGATGTAGCTCTGTGGTTAAGCACCCCTGGATACAATCCCCAGGACCAAAAAGAAGTAAATTGAGCACTAGTTCAGTGAGCATAGATATTATGGGGAGTTAACTTTATAAGCCCCTTTGGAGAAGGAAAATATCAAAGTTGGAAGCTTTGGGGACTACTATCCCCAAACATAAAAAGAGGATTTCTCAATGTTGAGAGGAGAGATATCTGGTAAAAAGACTCATAAGGGATGTTGACAATGCTCTGATGCTCTGGCTCCTGATCTCAACAGTGTTTTCAAGGACATTTTCATTATAATAGTTATTATGCAGTATATTTATGCTTTGCATACTCTTTTGTATGTGCATTCTATTTCACAAAATTATGGGTGTTTTTCCACAAAATGAAAGAAAGGCCCCTTAAAATATAAACAATAACTTTAATTTCTTTATCAAAATTTTCCAGTTGAGATCTCCTAATATCTAGACTACTGCTGTCCTTTACTTTTAAGCAGAGGCATCAGAGAACACTGGATTGACATTTCTACCTCTTCAAGTTAGCATCCTGCCTGGGCTACTGGGTGGGAAACACTCCTTTCATTAGTAGATATAAAAAAGTATTGAGGCTTGGTTTAATTTCTTATCAAGATTGAGATGATCAACTTGTATGTCATGTGCAATTTTATTAGTTAGCTTTCCTTTACTATCACAACTACCTGAGATCACCAACTTATAAGGAGAAAAGGTTTGTCTTATAGTTTTAGAGATTTCAGTCCATGAACAGTTGGCCCTGTTGCTTTGGGCCTGTGGTAGCATATCATGGCAGGAGTGTGTGGCAGAGCAAAACCATTGACCTCAGGGCTGGAAAGTGAGAGAAAGAGGAAGAGACCAGGGTTCTCACTGTGAGGCCAAGTCCCCATGCCCTGAAGAGCTCCAACAGGCTCCAACTCTTAAAGGTTCTATCATCTCCCAGTAGTGCCAAGCTGGGGACCAATTCTTTAACACATGGGCCTTTGGGGAACATTCCAGATCTAAACTGTAGCAGGAAGCATAATAGAAAACTAGGGAGAGTAATCTGTGTGGCTTTTCCTATTTCCTGCCCACTCTTTCCTGCTTATGCTCTACATTCTAGATACTGAAATACTGCAGAGATTGAACATGTGAAGTGGCATCATGAGGCACAGGTTTACAGGTTCCTGCAACTCCCTCCCAGTGACCCCTTCTGCTGGTACAAGCTACATCTGGTGGTAGACATGCCAGAGCCTGAAGGGCACTCTCATTCCAAGGCTCTTGGTGACAACTGGGTAAATGGGGACAACTATTTAATATGGATGCTCTCTTTCTTCCCCTCCCATGCCAGCCCAACCATGCTTGTGCCTGCAGATAGGCCATTTCAGATTGATGAAGTTTTCTTTGCAATCCTTCCTATTGAGCAACAATTTTCTGGAGATTTTATGAATGAAAATTCAATATGGCACCATCACTACCATCTAACCCTGCAGCTGTGACTTTTCAATCTGAATGGTGTGGGTAGAAAAACACTAACAGGAAAGATGTTACACCAAGGTTTCATGGCATATTTTCCTGTTTGAAGAATGTTCAACTTGCTCCTAGTAAGCTAAAGTAATATTCAAAATGCTCAGGTGAGGGAGGAGAAGAAGTTTCAAAAAGAACTTGGAAAATTCATCTCTGTCTTTGAATCATAAATTCTGACTTCCAAAAAGTAGTTTGGTGGGGGCGGAGAATGGGCAGGGTAAAGGAGTTAGGAACTTGGGAGAAACTAGAAGGAATACATACAAGTAGCACCAGAGGGAATGTTCTCTGAACTTCCAAGTCTGGTTTCACTTTAGAACCTGGAACTGAGTTTTACCTCTGTTGCCTTCTATCCAAGGACTCTCAGGTTTTCCCCTTGGAATTTGATACGCAGTGAAAATCAATAGTAATGATTCTCTTGACTTCCATTGTCTCCCCTTCTTATTTAAGGTAGGGGTGACAAGATGACACTGTATCTTATAATATCTTTAAAGCACTTTAACACCATCTCTGCTGAAGTCCTTGATGTCAGTGACCCCATTCCTGATTAATGTTCCTTAAGGACATTAAGCCCTCAAGAGGGTACCTTTTGGTAATTATCTCTGAGAGTTTCCATTTTCTCTTTATGGTTGTTCCAGTGTCCTAGCAATGTAGCAGAAGGGTCTGGTAGATGACCTGAATCTAAGTGACCAAGTTCAGGGCTACAGACATGGACAGTACCTAGTTCTTCCTGAAATGGAGACTCAGATAACTCAATACCATCAGGGATCCTTAGGGAGTGAGTTTCTCTCCATATGAATCCTGCTTCTTTCTGTGTGAAGAGTGTATCTCACTCAACGGATAATTATGTATTTGGTATCTGCTGAGATATGGTGCTATGCATAGGTGTTTTATAGGAGCATAGAAGAAAGTCCTATCCAGAATGTTCAGAGACAAATATTGCCAAATCCAAAAATGCATAAAGGGTA